CCCCAAAACCCCAAAACCCCAAAACCCCAAAACCCCTGCCCAATAATTTCAAATTGAACTAATTCGATATATAATCTTGAGATTCTTTTACTTGGAAACTTGAAATCTAACCTCATTAATGTGTAAGACTCTATTGCTAAACATAAGGAATTGCTGCCAGAGGTTGATCAAGAATTGAAGCAAATTTTGACTGACTTCATCTCATCAGCTGGACTTAAGATGAAGCAATAAATGATAATAAAGAACATGCTTTTAAAATTACAAAAGATCCTTCTATTCTCGAATATTGTCCCTAAACCTGAGTATTCTTAGAGTTCAAGTGTAGATCAGAGATAATTTTATTTCTCTTCTTATTTGAAGAATTAGAAATTCCTAATTTAGTCTAGCCGTCACCCTCTTGCTGTTCTAGAGGAGGCAACATCAGATTGTTCTTATTTTTACTCTTCTTGCCAATCGACAGCTTTTTAATCAGTGGCTTTTCTTTGAACTGGGGCTTCCCAATTGCTTTTACTGATTCTTTCCCAATCTTTTTCACAAAGTCAATTTCTTGTTTATACTTTTCTACTTTATTTGGACCTTTATCAACAGCAATGGCAGGAGCTTCTTCTTTACTGAGATCGACAGTGCTGTATTTAGATATTCCATTCTGATCCCTGATCCTAAAGCCACTGCTCGGTCTAGCAACATCAGCTTGTGTTGATGTGTTAGAGACATTTTCTCATGAAGAACCGGTCTTCGCTCTATCTAGAATTTTGGAAGGGATGGTTCTGTTGTCACTCAGTTTGGATCTCTGTTCTCTTCTTCGAAGTGGATTAATACTCAGATCAATAGGAGCCCTCTCACTTTCCTTAATCTGAGGCTTCTGTCCATTCATAATCAATTGATAAGACAGGTCATTGGTAATATTCTGAAGCCTCTTGATTTCTTTTTGCAATAGAAGTATGAATTCTTCGTTCATGCTTCAACTCTCGCATGGATTATCACGAGAAGTTTCTTCATTATCAACAGTGGACTGGCATTCTAGGTTCTGACAAGGGTTGTTTCTCTCAGTAGCCACCACCTTCTTGTTCTTTGCAGTTGAACTCTGAGTGGAAGAAGTCTTGAGCTTGATCTTTGCAGGACTAATCAGCTTCAAACCTTGACTGTTGTTCTTCTTAAATAATTTCAAAGTTTTGAGTCCCTTAGTTTCTTCTTTAAACTCAGTTTGGCCAAACTCGGTAAGTTTCTCGGTCTTGAGTTGTTCCATTATTTTTTATAAAAAATTCACTTCAATAATTTATATTTTAAAAGGGGTTTTGGGGTTTTGGGGTTTTGGGGTTTTGGGG